GGATTCACATTATTCTGCATGAGATGATGTATATAATATCAAAAGATAAGTAATACTTTAGCTTGTGTTTAAATAAACATTTCTTTGCTAAAACTTTTAACACAAAGAGCCTCAAGAAGTAATTAAAGAACTTAGTGATGAATGGAATAAGTTTGATAATATGGATTTAGACAATCTAAACTCTAGTTACCTCTAAAATCATCTTAAATTTCTTTCCCAACCCTTTGGATTCCCATATATCCCCCCGTGTAGACACCAACTCAATCTTCTCCAAATCGAATTGGCGCAAAAAACCTGTCGCTAGATGACTTCGATGGCAAAGAGGCCTCTTTCCCACTGGTTTTCCCACAAAACCTGTCAGTTTTCATTGCCACGAAGCGCTGATTAAAAGACGCTTCCGTTGCTTCCAAAAAGCAGACGCATCAGGAGACACATATCTACCGCAGAGGAAGCTCTGGCTGGATTCCTCGAATCCTCCTTTGCCTTTCTCCAGCAGCCATTAGCCTTCGCGTTGGCCCAAAGGACCTCGGCCAAAGGACCAACTAAACAGACGTCAAAATCATTGCCATTACGCGGAGGAGTGGAGGCGCAAGAGTTGGATTTTCCAGCTAACAATGAAACGACGCCCCCGCTGTCCCCTGTCACAGTGAGTGTCCTCCCTGGGACTGTCCTTGTCCCTGTCCCTGTCCCTGTCCCGGTTCTATCCTATCCTGTCCAGTCCAGTCCAGACCCTTCTCCTTCTCTGTTGGCCGTGGCGTGGTGGTCAACTGTCCCGCCTTAACCCGTCATCCGCATGCCTGGTCGCGGAAAAAAATACCAGAAAATGGTATGGCTGTTTCGGTGGGAAATGTGAAAAGCGTCGCCGGTTCAAGCTCAAGTAGCTTGTGTGCCATTTTTCCCATTTTTTTTTTTTGCACCCCCCTCATCCACCCATTTCTCGCTCCTCCTCGTTTTTCACGATTTTTGTTTGGGGGAAACTTTTGCTCTATTTCCGCCAACATCGCCTCGCCGTCTGGCTGACGTTTTAGCGCGGCTCGTTAGCGGTGGTGCTGGATGGCGGAGGTCTAGGGACCAGGATGCTGGATGCTGGAACCAGGATCCTGGGATCCGGTGGAGTTAGGAGTGGAGTCCTGGAGTGGGGCCCATGCGGTTGTCAGTCGCTTTATGAGACGCCTCCGCTGGTCCGTCCATGTCCTTCCTGGTCCTTTGTGTCGGCATTCTGCATGCAAAGCGAAAATGTTGTCGCTGTTTAATGTCAAACGCTGGGTTTCTTTTTTTTTTTGCTTTCTTTTTGGAACGCGAACTTTCCAAGGACTATTGTTGGTGAAATCCCCCAGGGACCACCCACACTAAATATCGAGAGTCGCAGACATTTTTGGGTGGCGCTGTGTTGATGGATTTGTCGGCATAAGCCTTCAATTGGTGGTCACCCAAAAGGACAAGGCTCTGGCATAGTGGGAAATCCAGTTGAAATTATGGGATTAAGATTGTGGTAAGATTTGGACTGATGATGATGTGATAAGTTTCTTAAATATATTTAGGAAATTTTTTTGGAATTATTTACTTCATTTGGTGAAGGAATAAATTTATAACTTTAGTACTTTTTATAATTGTTGAAAAGACATTGGAAAATGGTTCTAGGTTTGTACATATATTTTTTGATCAATTTTAATATATTTACAAAAATTTATCTATTCATTTGTTTACATTTTCTCAAATCTACCATTCGATTCAAAGCAAATTGGTACAGATCGTGGATTTCCAAGTTGATCTATTGCAGTTAATAGAAAAGTTGCCCTGTATCGACCAGGTCTCAGCCGTGAATTATATTCATATGTTAGATGCAATAGAAATGGATCAAACAAAATTTTAGTATGTTAAAACGTATACAAAAATAATAAAAAAAAAAAAATAAAAATAAAGAGTTAATTAGGAATTACATGGTCTTCAAAGTTATATATAATATTAATAGATTAAATGCGCAAAAATAAACTTACACCTGCCACATTTAGACATTTTTGTATCATTTCATCAATATTTCTAATATGTGCAGTAAATTGATATAAAATCTTATTGTTTTGACTTTCTAACCAACTGCTACAAAAATCGTTATATTTTAAATTTATCAAACTTGGTTGCCAAATTCCGCGGTCAAAGTAAGAAGTGCTCAGTGAGGCCTTTTAAATAAAAACAAAATATATTATAAAAATATATTATTCTTCTGAAGGGTTATATGTATATTCGACCTGAACGGAATCTGTGAGACCGATATCCCATAGGGTAGTTATGTAGTCGGATACATTTAATCCGCCTTCTACCAAGGTAAATGTCGCATTTGAAAAATCCCAAATTTTATCGATACCAAAATATCCTGAGAGCTTATTGTGACACTCCGTAAATATAGAGACGTCCTCAATAATAAATTCGTATTTCGTTGCCACCAAATATTTGACCAAATTTAGGATAAGAATTATTATAATCACGACGCGGTACATTTTTAATTTTTGATTTTAGTTTAAAACTAATTATGAAGAGTGGCATCTCTTTTATAGCATACCTTTTTAATACGGGAATAATGATAGTAATTAATAATTAGATTCTCTATGGTTAATGGTACGTTTTTTATACACAATCATGTGCATAGCTCTTTAGTAACTTGTAATTACTGATGTGAAAACTAAAATTAATGACAATTAGTTAAATATAAATTATATATATCAGGTATTTTGCTTTCCCACAAGAGAGAGAACAAATTCATAGCATTTATATAATATAGAATATCATTCGTCTATCTTGGGTTTATTCTTTTTGTGTATCCTTCGAGGACTCATTTTCAGGTTTTGCAGAAGCTAATGCTCTCGTTTGGGTTAATCAAGGCTTGAGATTTTTTAATTTTATTTATCTTTGCCGAGTGTCGTTCGTTGGGTTTGTTTGGTCTCTCATTTTGGGTTATTTGTATAGCAAACCCACTTTTCCGGCCACCCAAAAAAATAAAAAATAAAAACGCATATTTTTCGAAACGGGACAGTTTCGTTAAATGTTTAAATATGTACGTTATATCATAGGTATATATATAAACACACACATATTTGTATACACAGGAGGTGTATATATCAACGCCATGGCACAAACCCAGCCCCGTTAAAAAAAACTTGTACTTTATTATTACTTTTTTTCGTTTTTTGTTTTTTGTTTTTTGTTTTTTGTGGCCACGTGTGGTTCGTGTGAGTATTTGCATGTGTGTCTGGTTGTGCTAACGCCCTTTTCGGACAGTGCATTTTTAATATAATTTTTACAACCCCATTTCTCCATTCCATTTCCCCCCCTTTAGTCGCAATTTTTTACCATTTTTTTTTATTCACAATTTGGTTGTTGTTCTTATTGCCCCACGCCCCCATTCTGATGATCCCATGGACAGCCTTGTTTGCAGTGGGCGTGTGTGTGTGTGTGTTTGTACATACATATATGTACATTTTATCCCATTTTTTTACACTTTTTGAATTTTTTTTGTGATATACTTTTTTTGTTTTATTATTTGGTGTGCTGTTTTTCATATGTGTCCGGAATCGGATTCTTTTGGGGGTTGCTCTCCGCCCATTGGCAACTGTCCGGTTTGCAGGTGGCCCTCCCGCTGCATATGCGGGAAATGTAAAAAGCGCGTTGCCTTGCTTTCCTTTTTTTATACATTTTTTTTTATTTTTTATATATATATATTAATTTCTGCATTTGTGGTGGGTAGGTGGGAATGTAATAAGCAGGCAACGTTGTCACGCGGAGAGAGAGGGGAAGAGAGAGGAGAAGGTGTTTACTGTGAGCCGGGAAAAATATTCTTTCGCCGGATAAGCAAAAAGTATTTTAATGAATTTTTATAACGAACGGAAGGAGGGCGACTCTGGTATTGTTTTTTAGTGTTTTTTAATTAATTAAAAATATAAATTAAAAATTGCATAATATTATGTATAATTGAAACGGAGGCCGGGCAGGAGAGCAGGAAGGAAGAGAAGGGTTTAAAAGCAGACACTGAGCGGGGGAAAAAAGATTTCAAACCGAAATGGGAAAATAACTTTTCTGTTTACAGTTGAAATTTTAAAATAAGTCCCCTTATTTTAAGTACAATTGAATAATAAATTTGAGACTTTTAAGACAATCTAGTTTATGCAACATCTACCACCGACATGTTTTCAGAAAATTTTTTCAAAAAAAGATAAGATTGTCAAAAAATTACAAAAAATTCAATTAAAATTGAAAGTGAAGGAGTCATTTCCGACCCAATAAATCATATATTTTCTTGATCGGCATCAACAGCTGAGTCGATCTAGGCATGCCCGGAAGAATTTTATATCTTTGATATTTTTTTATTTTTTGCAAAAAAAGATAAGGGGTTACATCATTCAAATTGTCAAAAATTGGCAACAAATATTTGAATTTTTGAAAATTTTAAATTGAGTATGTAAATTTATTAACCTAATAAAAACTAGCATAAAAACGCTTTTCGAATTAAAATTGATTCGATTTTGGCTTAGCTATGAGTTTTTCTAACTTTAGTTTTTCGAAGAAAATGGTCATATAAAATATTCTATAAAAATATCGGTTTAAAGGCATTCTTTATTTTTTAATCTTAGTTATGATCGTCTTCTGATTCGTTCCAATAATTCAATTGCAAGCTGCAAAAGGTACATATATAAACTTTTATTTACCTTACAAATTATAGAGACCGAGATATATTTTTACAAATACCTTCCACTGTGGTTTTTTTTTGTTATTATGTTTAAAGTAATATTACATAAAAGTTTTGCTCAAACTAGACAAACTCGCAGTTTTCCACTTTGGTAAACCCCTTAATATAAATACAATTCTTAATTTTTAATGTAAATAAATACAATCTACAATATCCTGCAGATATCCTATATATAATCCTTATTTTTGTGTCCCCTTAATGTTAAATAAACTACCAGTCCTTTTTGCTTAAGCTCTGTACAATTTTTCCCCCGTGTACTTCCCACCTCTCAAAAAAAAAAGGTAACCTAACCCGCCTGCTGACCTTCAACTGGGCCTGACCACAAAGAAGGGATGCTCTTGGCTGGGACAGACGATCTGCTCAAGCACCTCGGGCACCTTGGAAGATTGCGGCTTGAGTTCATCGGGCAGCAACATGCTGTTCCAGAGCAAATTCGCCAGGATCGCATGTCCCCGTTGGCTAAAGTGGAAACAGTCGTGGGAGAAGAGACGCCAATCAGTGCCGCCGTCCGGTAACTTGGGAGCCGTAATATTAGTGATCAATGGATGAGCCACAATGGCAAAGTCATCGCGATGGAACTCTGGCAGTCGGGCAACCTCCAAATCCAGTTGCTGCCACCGGAGTACCGTCTGCTGGCGCTCTTTCAACTGGCTGGAGCTCAAACGATCATCCACCAGGCAGTGACATCCAATGCGATGCACCACAAAACACTGCAACGGCAACTGGGTCATGCTGGACAGCACATCCTGAATCTTGGGTACCACAATCAAGTTGATCAGCAGACGAGGCACATGATCTCTCAGCAATCGAAAGGCCTGACGCATATCGGCGGCATGCTGCTCCAAGAACGACTCCGGCTTGTCCCAGTGACACAGATCCGAGCAGATATCATTGTTGCCCACATACACAGTCAGCAGTTTCCAGTGACGTTTCATGTCCACATTGGGATCCCGACGCAATCGATCAATAAAGACTCGAGCCTGGAAGGGCAGGTCACGGGACATGACCATTGGCTCGGCAATATTCAGCCGGGAATGGCGATAATTGGCCACCAAACTGTTGCTCACCGAGAAGCCATATAGCTTCGGATTGAAGACCTTCAGGATGTTGGGCAGCGTCAAGAAGCGTCTCCAGTCTGCCATCCCGCCGCCAGAGAAGGTTAAACCACGAAATTCATTGATCATATCGATGGCATTGTTGGAAAGGATACCATTGCCCGCTGACAGGGAATCCCCAAAAGCAGCTATAATGTCTATATCTCCAGGACGTAGTTGCTCTATCGAGGTGGGTGGATTTACAGAACGTGTGTTGTTTGTGGGACAGGGAAATGGCACCTTCTTGGGTATCCTTTTCTGAATCTTTCCCTCACGCCTTCCACGGCTGCTCAGTGCCTCAATGTGGTTCAGGGCCCAGCCCAGAGTGAGCTGTCGGGTGCCCAGGAAAAGATGTCGCAGATTACGATCAATAAAAGTATATTGCTGAATGCCATTCTCCAGGGCCCGGGGATTCCAGGACTGAGGACGTACTCCTATATCCGCCAGCAACTGATGGGAGCGATCCTGTCGCCGAATGCGAAGATTTGCAGAGACATTAAGCAGCATTAAAAACAGGCACAAGATGTGAGTGATACAAGTCATTTTAAATGATTCTTTAACTCATTTAAAACTCTGATTTATCAGTTTTATTAACAGTTTTCAGTTTTCACTTTCGCAAGCTCACGATCGCCGAACTTCTGAACGCGTTCTCAGCCAAAAGGCGAATGCGTCGAGCGTTTTTAATGCCCGCCACAAATACCATATATGAACTGCTTTGCCTCGAGCAATTATGGGCCGGATTCACTCATAGCTTGCCAATGGCTCACAACTCGCACTCCAACTCATTTCTTTCCATTAAAGCCAGAAACAACCATACACACACGATCGTTGGAGCCCAGAACTTGACTTAAAAGCGTTGACCGAGACATTACCCATCATAAAAATGACAGAGCGGTCTGATAGCAGCACCAGCCTCTGCTACAAAAATTAAATACAACAAAAAATATATATACATATATATTTATAAATAAAAACACACGCACAACACAGGGCCCTGGGTTCAAAGATGTTGGCAACGAAACGAGAGAAAAACCTAAACAGAATACAACATACAGAATATAGTTTAATGTGCGACATAATTACCTTGTGGCAAAACATTATGAATGCTACCAAAACATGGCACATTTTGTTGTTTAAGACTAATAAAACAATAAATAAATATAAATAAATTGGAGTCAGAAGTGGCTTAATCAGGGGCGTAGACTTTGATATATGGGGTTGTAAACCCTTCTAGGTTATTCGGTCATAGCTTTATGGGGGATTATTTAGACCTATCAAGTGGTGAAAGCACTTAACAATTCTTGACCTTTAGGGTTTATTCGAGGTATTTAGTCATCTTTAGGAGGTGGTTCCCAGATAGCATTATTTCATATTCATATTTAAATACTTTAATTTATGTATATGACATATTATGATTTTAGAGTTAAAGTTAAAACCTCAAATACTCCACACCACTGTCTAAAGTTGTAGTTTTGTATAGCTAGCTCTCAGATGTCGATCTCTCCATTTCATGCCTGATTTTAAACAAAGAAAATAAGCACAAAAAGATCTCAAAATATTTGCACATTAAGCTTAAGTAAGTTTGTAATGTAATTGTTGCTCAAATGCTTGAAATGTTAATAGCTAATTGTTTGCTTAGATCTCCCGCCAAGAGTCTTGAGTCTCTTGAGTGCTATGTATGCAAAAACACATCCGTTTTTTGGTCGAACTTGATAGCGGTTATTGCCCACACCGTGGAGTTAATTGAAATAAAATATAATTTATAAAGTAAGTGATCTATAAATATATATGGAGCTGACTCAGGTCGGGTCTGGTTTTCTTCTGTATTTTTTTTTTTTTTTCGAGGCGTGTCGTCTGAAGGCTGTAAACTCAGCCTGCGGCTATATCTGTGGACGGACAGAGGGGCCTGAACGTGATGGAATTTTACGCTAAAGATTTATCAACTTCCGCTGGATCCCCCTTCCTGATACCTGATACCCCTTAACGGCTTCTGGGAAGCGGTCCCAGATGGTTGGGGTAGATCAAGATCAAGGATGGGCGTGGAGATCGATCTTAAAGGTACTTTAAACTGTTCCGCCTACTTAAAAGATGCGAAAACAAAGTAGAGCCTGAAGATTGTATGGTTTTCTTGAGTTTTATATTTAAGATCGCACAAATAGTATGGTTTTTAAAAGGAAAATAAAGACCAATTAAAGTTAGGCACTTGTTTACATTATATACTATATACATACATAATGTATCATAGAAATTTACGAGTCAGATCATTGCACTACAAAGTACATTTTTATACCCTTGCAGGGTATTATAATTTCAGTCAGAAGTTTGCAACGCAGTGAAGGAGGCACCTCCGACTATATAAAGTATATATATTCTTGATCAGGATCAACAGCCAAGTCGATCTAGCCATGTCCGTCTGTCCGTTTCTACGCAAACTAGTCTCTCAGTTTTGAAGCTATCTGAATGAAACTTTGCAGTTAACCTTCTATATACTCTCACTCGTATATATGTCGGAACGGGCCGGATCGGACGACTATATCATATAGCTGTCATAGGAATGATCGGAAAAGTTTTACAAAAAAAATTATAAAATTTTTAGTTTTCAACAGAATTTAATCAAATTTGAGATATAGCCATTTAATATTATTCTACAATTTTGTGTCAAATTTTATGAAAATCGGACGGCTATATCATATAGCTCCCATAGGAACGATCGAGAAATTAATACAATTAAATTTATAACTTTTTTAGTTTTCAGCTGATTTTCATCAAATTTGAGGTATAACCATTTTATATAAGTCTTAAATTTTGTGGCAAATTTCATAAAAATCGGACGACTATATCATATAGGTGCCATACAAACGATCGTTTGATGTAGAGGAAAAATGCAAATCTGTGAATGTAAAACTGCAAATATAATATGTATAGGTGAATGAAATGAAAGCAGGTATTACTTCATTGTTTTTTAACACAAATATATATAATTTATATTGTATGGATTCCTATTCATAGAAGTTCTATCTGCAAGGGTATATAACTTCGGCGTGCCGAAGTTAGCTTCCTTTCTTGTTTATAGTTATAACACCTGTCTTCATGATATTTCTATAAATATATTATATCTATCAGTCATAAGCCTTTACAGATTGTATTATTTATAGTGCGACATTTAATTGTTCTTTTAATTTGCAATTAGCTATATAAACTTTAATCCCACAATGAGAACCAAAATGTTTGGGTTCACTTAAAATCTCAATATGAGAATTAAATTTTTAGTGGTTACCTTTAAACCGGGAAGTCTGTCTAATATTTCCGCTGCCAAAGACTAAAAACCTTTATATTTGCACAATATTTAAGGCTGTTTGTCTAACTAGAAACTACGCTTAGTAAACACTTCTAAGCAGTGTTTAGTTTTTCGTAAACATTCCATAACAGCAAGGTTTTTGTTACAAAAAGGAAGTATTATTTACAACATAGAGTTTATTTTTAGTTAACTTATTTAATAATTATCATTAAATCATAACTGAGGATTCTTTGATTCGTTATTTGTCGATACTTTCAAATAACAATTTTTTTCGACAAATCAAAATCTTAAAAACTCATAACGAAGCCAAAAATGCATAAATTTCAAATCGGAAAGCGTTCCTATGCTAGTTTTAGGTTAATAAATCTGCATACTCAAATTAAAATTTTAGGAAATTGAATTTTTGCCAATTTTTAACAATTTTGCCGATGTAACCCCTTATCTTATTTTTTCAAAAATTTCAAAATTTGACTTTCTTTCGGACATGCCTAAATCGACTCAGCTGTTGATGCTGATCAAGAATATATATGATTTATAGGGTCGGAAATGATTCCTTCACTTAGTTATAAGCTTCTGATTAAAATTATAGTACCATGCAAGGGTATAATAGACAAAATTAAATTAAAATTGATACAGAAATTAAATAACTACTATCTTGCGAGTAATAAACTCGTCCAACTAGTTAGTACAAGACAATTAGCACTTAAATACCGTATTGGAATTTTTTAATAAATCAATTTGTAATATATTTTAAGAGACAGCTCTTTCTAAGAAGTTCATCTATATTCAATTACCCATTAAATAAAATTATAGTTTATGTAAGCGATCAAAGATCTCTGACCTGTAAATGGTGGTTCTGTTAATAATGGTTTAATAGCTCTGTGAGCCCTTAGACTACATTTCATTTTGCACATTCCTGATCCCCCTTTTTGATGACAAATGAATCTCAATTAGATAAATACTTCTCGGTTGGAGCTATTCATTGCTCTGCCCTCAGTCTACGATGTCGATCAAAATGGCGCAGCTTCATTTCATTTAAACTAATTGAGGCTCATTAAGTATTGTTATTAAGTGTTGTTATAGTTTGCTGTTTCAGCAACATTTCGCAGATACATTGTTGCTCAGCTTTTTTCCAGCTTAAATGCGGATAAATGGATTTTATGCTAATTGAGACTAATTTGTAAACAAGATGATATTGCTGGCTGAGCTTCTGTTGGGCTAATCCGTGTTTATGGAAAAAATCAACAACGTTTTTAAGCCAGGTTAAGAGAGTTTTTGTGGAAAGAGCTTTAAAGAGCGGCAAAAGCTTGTGTTTAAAAATATTTAATTAAGTTTTAAAAGAGCTTTAAAGTGCTGCCAGATTTTTTAAAGTAAATATTAACCTTTTAAAAACGTAACTTAATTTTATTAAATTTAATCCGTACTGCAAATAAATGAAGATAATACTCAACGTATCTAAAAAGATCTATGTTTTGTAATATTTTTCTTGCAAAAATCTTTTAAAACTGTATTGCATATTCCCACTAGTTTTGGAAATGAAACCCAGTTCCCAGTTATAAAAGCACAACCTTGAACCACACTAATGTCAACCATAAAATATTTTCGAAATTTAACCTGTACAACAACAGTTTGTTGTCATTGTTGAAAGGCTGAATGGTTGACTATTATCCATTTATTTAGCAACGCTTTTAATTGTAGCTTAATTATTGTAATACCCGATTTATATCGCAGGTAATTAAATGAGTGTCGGTATATCCAAGGGAATTATTTTATTGCTATTCTTTGGTTTACCATTGTTGTATTCTTTAACGGCAAATTCAGTTGGCAAAGGTGGAGCGCAATTATTATTTATTTGCTTAAATAATGCAGTTAATTGGAATACCTCAATGGACACCACGAATTCATAAATATTACAAAACTCTTTAACCTCGCTGCAATTGCCAAGAGAGCTTTGCAGAGAGAGAGAAAATATTTAAATGGTATCAGAGAGAAATAGAGAGAGCTGGGGAATTTTAAGAGAATTAAGCTATAACTTGCATATTCACTAAATACTATTAACCAAAAAAATACACTATAAAATGAATATATATATTTTTTTTATTATACAGGAAAAGAGGAAATTGTTGTACCTATTTAATTTTATTAACAATGTTAAGAGTATTCAAAGACGTTAAAAAAATCAATTAATATAAAAATACACAGTTTAATTATTTATGTTTTAATATGTAGTGATCATATCCGAATGCAAATATTAAGCATTAAAGAGTAGAAAACAAATGAAAAATAATCTCTCCTGTCTCATACTGTATTATAAAATTAATGAAACCCTAGAAAGGGAATATTCAAAATACCCTAAGCTAATATTCAGACGCTCTGCAAAGGCGTGTAGAGGGTGGGGAACTAGTTAACAATTGCACAATCTCAACAATAATAACAAAAGTTTGCGACATTTTTGTCTCGGCTCGACGTTTAAGCTGAAAAATTACAAGTCGGTGGCTAAACGTTGCCATTTGCCCGCCCTGATCAATAACCCGATCGAGCGAAGAGCGAGAAGCGAAAAAAAAGAGGGAACTGATGGCAGGTGAGCGAGCGAGCGAGGGAACAGGTGAGCTGGCAAAGCAGGTGAGCCATCTCATCTCAGCAGTGGCGCGTTCAACACACCCTAAGTGGGTTAATTTGTCGGCTGACCGACTGCCTTGCTCTCTGTGATAACAAACCTCTGCACGACCACGGCGTGCCAACTGCAGAGCCACCGAAAATCATTCCAGACACTGAGAGAAATTAAATGTTATATTTATATATTTTGTAGCTTGAAAAATAAATATTATTTATTTCTAACTTAAGCATATATTTTTTTGTTAAAAGAAATCCCCCAAAACTATAGCCAATTTAAATATGATTAATATAAAAGAAAGCCAGAAATAATAGATAACTTCAAATAAAGAGAAATCAAAATACCATAATATTCTGTCAAATATTCCCTAAATTATTTTCTCTAAACCCAAAGGCTTAGGGACACTAGTGTGGAATAAGTAAAATAAAGAACTTTCCCCATCTGAGCATATCCAAAAATATTTGCAATGAAGTCCCTAAAAATTCTCAAGTCTGTATTTTGAGATCTGAAGAGATTTGGATAAGGGCTTTTAGATAATCCTACCTATAATGATATGTGTGTGATCTAGACATCAAGTCTGAAATTATGTATAAAATATCAGGCCGAACTAGACTAGAGATTTAGCAGAAAATCATAAACAATAAAACCTTAAAATTAGGAAATATGTAGCTAAAACATAAATCAATCTTTGAAAGATTTATTTTCATCATGAAAATTAATTACTTTTCCATTAATTATATTTTTTTGTGAACTTTTCATTATATTTCCTATATAAAAAAGAAACATTTTTTAAACGACTCAAGCTTGGAGCTTTATTTTTCTCAGTGTAAGCCCCTCCAGGCAAAGAGCGAGTGCCAAGCGCGCTTGCGCAGTCACCGCTGCCGCCGCCGACGAAGTCGAAGTCGAAGCCGCAGCTTCAAGGTCGCCTATTGTAAAAGAAAGCGCCAGCGCATGGCCTTGAACACGACAAGAAAAAAAAATAAATATGTTAAAAGCCAATGGCTGGGACTAGAGGACGGAGCATGTGCCAGATAAGAGATGAGTCCGGGATGCGGAGGAGACTTGAACTTTGGCTGTGCTCTCTTTTGTTTTGCATGGAAACGAATGTTTCAAACGCAGAAGAAAAAAACCTATACGAAATGTGAGCAAACAAGCCTGTTTTGAGTGCCATAAAGTTTATGCTTGAGTAAGACAATGGACAAAGCCCAGCAGTGCTACGAACCAATTTTTATACTCCTATATATACTTGTTACTATTTTGTCTATAGTTTTTTGCAAACTTGTGCAAGATAGCGAAGCAGCCAGAAAGCGAAAACCAGCATCTCGAAAACCCAAACTGTGATAAATTGGGGTTAAATGGTTAGCAAATGGGTTAATTGTATGTAGATTGAATCGAAAATGTGTGGAAATTGCTTGCGAATTGGCCAAATTGAGTGTTACATTTCGATAAGCAGCAGGGATATTGTAAAATTGAATAAACTATTAATAAATAGGCATTATGAGGGATATAATATGGCTTGGGTTTATGATTTTCACAAGTTTTCTTTGCATATAAAAGAACAAGATACACAAGTCTTTCATAATTCCTATTTCTATATAATATATTAACCTTTGTCTAAGTTTAGTTGCTTTCAAAAGTAAATCATATTCTGAACTTTGTTACTTTTGTTTGTGTTTCTAAGCCATTTAGCTTTTATGTTCAGTCATTACTATTTTTGCGAGACAACTTTTAGATTAAGATAATATAATTAAACCCTACATTTTGGCTTGTGTCGGGTATAAAACTCTTTAGTTCTAAATTTCCGCAGAATAGAGTTTATTGGACTTTTATATAAACCTGTCCAAAGGTTGGGGCGGATATGAATTAAAACTTTTTAAATTAGTTTAATGAATCTTCGTGAGAAATATGCAGACTACAATTTTTATTTCAATTAACACGATATAATGTCAGAAGCTGAACAAAAATCTTGATAATACGACATGCAATGATTAATATAAAAACACAGTTTTTATACAGGAAACAAGGAAATGCACTGCATATATCTCAAACTCTCATTTAAATTCATCGATTTTTACTATATTTCTTATATAATATTATGGAATATTAAAACATAAGAAATATAGAATTGAGAATATACAAGGAAAGCTCAATCAATTAAACCAAATATACCAATTTTAATGCGCAATTACTTGACATATTTAAAATTGAACTCACCACAGAATAATAATTCTTAAAAGTCTGGTTTCTAAGCAATAATTACATACCTGCAATTAAAAAGAGAGAATAATTAGATTTGTCAAGAGTAGAAGGTTGATTAGATTGTAGTTACATACTATAAAACCCTTTTGAATAAATTAATAAATTTATTACTAGAACTACCAGGGAGCTAAAGTCATTAACAAGTATAGGAATTTATATACAAAAAGTCATTCAAGTGACTTTATATGGACTAAAGAGAGAGCTTTAACTTAAAGTTATGGTTTGTAGAATAAATCGTTTCCATTTACATTATCTCAAAGTCAAAAATATATATACCTTATTCCATAATATAGTTATATTTAAATCAACCGGCATACAGTCAGCTTAAAAAAATCCACAAGACACAAAAAAAACTACTTGTATACCTAGAAAAAAAGTGCTGTGTTGTGCTGCATTAATAATTTTATTTCAAGCAATCTATCTTTACTTTTTCATACACTTATTTTTTGCCAAGGAAGCGGCAAAAATAAAAAAAAGTCGCATACATTTAAAACTCTATTTTTCATATACATTTTTCTGTACCGCTTCCAAAGCCTCGCTGCCGCCGCTAAAAGCTGAGAGCGGAGCTGGGCTGGGCTTGGGATTGGGATCGGCTTTTGGGTTTGGAGCTTGCGAGTACGCGATCTGGCACTTGCTGGGCTCAGTCGACAAACGGAGCTCGCAAGCGACACTTGGGGCCAGCGGAGCGATACTACAGTCGAGACCGCGAAAAACGGAAAAACAGCCACTCTTCAAAATCGGCGAAAAGCAAAAGAAAAACGAAGAAAAAAACAAAACAGCAGCAGGTCACAACAAAAATTGCAACACCGAAAGCGCGCGTGCGCAATACGATAAGTTAGAAGAGGGGAAAAATCGAGGAAAATCACACAGTGAATACGGTACGATTAAGGAGTTTTTTCCAATTAATATAAATAAAGTGTTTGTGAGAATATATACTTCCCAGTTTCCGCATTTCTTGTGAACTATTACAAAGAGAAAAAAATTAATTTCTTTTTCATTTTACCCATTCCATACAACATTATTGTATGGAGGAAAATACACACTCACACACACAATTCAAGCGAAAAGCAAAAGGAAAACGAAAGACTTAAGACACAAACTTGAGCGGACTGCCGCCAAGCATGACCACATGTGTGTTTTTCTTGCCTCAAATTTAAGTGTGCGTGAATTTCGGGTTGTGTTTTTGTAAATAATATTAAAAAATCAAATCAAAGTAAACACAAGAAGCTCTTTATTAACGAAAATCGAAGAAAAAAGTGTGACAAATAAAATAAATAAAGTAACAACATAACCGGCAGCCTAACACTATTTTTAAATTATTATGTTTTGTTGGCTTTTCCCTCCCTCCGAGCCAAAGAGAAAAAATTGATGTGTGTAAAAAGCATAAAGCTGAACAAGACCTGAACTGTCTGTCGGTTAAGCAATGCAAAATATTGCAACAGTTTCCCTCCTCTATTTTTTATCTCTTTCCGTCTGGTCTGTCTCTCAAATGATTTCTGCTTATTTTCGGTATCTCCCAGTGGGAGTTGGGAAAGCGAAATCAAATTGATTTAGCCAGGTGCATGGGTAATACCTGAGAGTTGCATCTCAGTGATGTGCATTTATTTCCCCCTCTGCCTCGCTTTACATAACTCACTTGGTTTTTCACACTCCTCCTAGCATTGGCACAATAATATCGCAAGAAAATGGCTAAAATTATCCAATGACCGGGTACAAAATGATTACAAAAAGTTGGCTATTGTGTGACACACAAAACTGCAATAGGGAGATAGACAGAGGTAAAAGCAAAAGCCCGCTTAACTGTCTGGGTATAAACACAAAACGACTAGGACAAGGCGCATATAATGAGAAGTACAAAAATTATAATCAAGCCCGTGCAATGAGCTAACGAAAATTAGCAACAGCAGCAAAAAATAACTAAGCAACAATCATAAAACTATATGGACAAGACGAGTTATGCTTAATCATTCAACAAGTGTCGTAAAGAAAATGTAATTAAAAATAATAGAATATGCGGATGCTTTTATAAGTTTAATAATGCTTAATCATTTAGCAAGTGTGGTTAAGAAAATGTAATTGAAAATAATGTCTTTGGTTTATTAGTAAAGTTCTGCAAATAGTTGCATAGAGATATTTATTTAACCAAAGCTAAACTGATTTAAATTTTGTGGAATTAGAAACGTATACTAACTTCCTTAAACTTGTATTAAATTGCATTTAAAACTTAAACTGCTGACTCTGTCTAAAAGTGAATGATGTAAACACAGTCTATACAAACTGAGGCAGACAGCTGTTGCAGATATATGTTGCTGCGGCTGCTGCAGTTGCTGTTGCTGCTGCAGTTGCTGTTGCTGCTGTTGCTGCCGTTGCAGTTTGACCGAAATGATTGTTGTGGCATTATATAAGAAGTGGCCATGCCACAAAAACGATAAAAGGAGAAAGAAGAAAACCGTAAAAGAGTCGGCGGCAAATGAGAAGGAAGCAGTTGGCAGGCTGGCTACTACCAACTCTCTCTCTCTCTGTCTGTCTCTAGTTGCTGCTGCAACATGTTGCACGATCTAAATACCCACTAACAGTGCGATGAGCGTTGGGTCTGGGGTCTCAGTGCTACCTAGTTTGTTAGCTTTAGCCGCTTAAATAAGCCGTTAAACTGCATCAAGGCAACGACAACGACAACGAAACTTGTTGGCCATTTGGCACTCAAAAAGTGGTCAGAGGGGCGGATCTCGTTGGTGGTAATAATAATTTACCCCATTGGCCATGCCCGCTGGCTGTTCTTGGCGCTGAGAAAGCAATTTGGCGGTCTGTCGCTCTTTTCTAAGCGGCTCATGGCCATCATGGCTCAATTGCAAACATTGCAAAACATTGGCAAATAAACTGCGACTGCATATACAAGAGGCCAGCTTCGGCTGGCGACGCGACATCGATAAACCATTAAGACACTAATTTTTTGGAATCCCTCGCAGCAATTGAGTTACAACGTCAGCAGCGGTTACCCGTTAACCAGTTGGTGCAACCTTGATGCTTGTTGTTTCACCGCTTCTCGGTTTATATTATTTTATATAGTTTTTTTTTGTTGTGTTTTGTTAATTTTGGGTTTTTTTCATATCTTTAATGGCAGGTGTTGGTCGAGGGAATCAACTAAGATATCGTCCGATATCTGCCAAAGGGAGTTTTTCATGCTAATCGCAGAGGAAATGTTACGTTTGCTTTGTAAAATGTATAAAATATATGAGAGATTTAATACTATATATAATTATTCCATTATTTAATATATATAAATTAGGTATAGACTATATCAGAAGACAAATGCAGCAGGTTGTTTAAGGAGTTCATTTTAATTTCCGTTTAAAAACTCTTTCACAACATTTTTTACTGATCGAACTTTATCATTACGATCTTTAAAAAATTTTGAATTTAAGAATTATTGTAATATTTCTCCAGTTTTTTGGTTAGAATTTTGCATATCAATGGCTAAAGTTCGGTTATTTTTACCAAATTTTAAAATATACTACAGGTTGTGCCTATGCGAATAAATATTTCATGTTAAAAGCCATTTGATATATCTAAATTCCTAGAAGAAATTTAGGAAGATTCTCTGGATTGCGCTTTGCTTTCATTTTATAAAGAGATGCTTATTTTAATATAATAAAAATAGTTGAAAAAAAAAGAATTTTTTAAGATATACTTTATTTTATAATCACTGAATATTTATGTTATAAAATTCAGCATAGCAAGCAAGGTCTCACTGGGTCAAAGGTCTTGAATTATACACAACCTGTGTGCCACACTTGTTCACGCCTGTGTTTCGACTTGGCCCGAAAAAAAGTGTTAAAATATATATATATATACCCGAAAAAATAACATGCTGAAATTGTTGTCCTTTGCGTCATCTGCTGCAATGTTAAGCAAACAACAACAATGAAAAACACAGCAGAAACAACCTCAAAAACAAGGCATCAAGTTATGACCACGACTGTGTGTTACTAACCTTACTCAATTTAATTTTTTGGGTAAGCGTTTATTTTTTATTTATTTTATTTCATTTTGGGCTTTACTTTCGAACTCTTTATGGGTGCTTTTCGTTTGGGGTTTTATTTTTTCTCCCCTCTTTTATCATTGGATGTTGTATATATAAATGATATACATATGCCAAGATAGATACATAAGCCAGAGAGATAAATAGATGCGATTGCAATGAAGTAACTAGTTTATTTTTGGCTCTAGACTAAAGCATGAGTTGGCACTCTAAGTGGGTCAAAGTCTGATTAGCGAGGTCACATGCTACACACGGTTATAGGTAAAAATATATCTGTATCTGTATATATAACATATATTTGCGAAAGGAATTTCTAGTGGCTTTGGGAAAGAAAAGAAGAAAACCGGTAATAAAATATATATAATTACCATTTTCAAATAACAGACTTTAGCAAAACAAAAGCAATTTATACTTGACAGAACTCAATTTAAATTATTATTACCAACTGCCCTGGGATTGTAGAATGTACAATTTGTGAATAATTGCTGGAATTTCCGAAAACTAAAAGAGGTCACACAATGGGTAAACATTTGCTTTGCTTAAATTTATACATTCAAGTTTCTACTGATATCCGTGAATACATCTATTTGTCATGCTTCACACGCTTTTGCCTCGTCGCGCGATGTGTATCTGTAAGATACATTTTCAACCTGTGCCCCCTTGGACCCCTTTCTCATTTCATATATACTTTTGTGCTTTTACGGTCCAGTTTTGCAGAACATTTGTTTATTCTAAATGCATTTGCACCCGACGTTGATCCGCAGGTGTGTGTATATATATATAGTAAATATATTGTTATTCAAGACGTTTCTGTGACTCTTCAACTGAAAGGTTTTGTTCCGTGTAAGTCGGCGCCTTGTGACTTTGCTCAGATTGACTAAAGTGTGTGAGACTCTTTCCCTTATTAACACAATATTGTATCGCAATATCTGTCAAGTCAGATATTTTCATCACAAGTACCTGTCAATGCGACTGCAGTTAAAACGTAGTAATACATTTTCCAAGTAATTTACAAGTGTTTTCTTTTGTTGAACTTGAATTGAGAGTTTGTTTTGTGACTCATATTCCATTCAGAACATTTACATTATATATTTTTTATAATTTAGGTTAGGTAATAATCAATTGTTTGCTAGTTGAACTTTGATTTATAACTCTGTATAGTTTAAGACTATATTTCAAGAGTTCATTGAACCAAAATTCTTGGCTTAGTTGGCACATAGAATTCACAGATTTTATTTCATCTTCAGTGAAGCGTCAAAGTTGTCTAATTAGCAAGTACTTAGAATACATATAGCAAACCCGAAATAAATTATGGATCTGGCAAGTGCTTTGAGCAACTCGGCACGTGCATGTCATAAAGGCAGGCGAATCAATAAAATACATAAAACCAAATTGAGAAAATGCGGTTTGTTGACGCAAATCATTTTTGATAATCCTAGGCAGATAGATACACATTATATTCAATTGACGGATAATTATAAAACAAGTTTAACTACTTTGTGATAGATATTAAAAGGGAATATACATTTAATACTGTCTCACTTTAATGACTCACTTAATCAACTGATTGAGTACAATTATAAACCTTTGTTGACACTTAATTTATGCCAGAACGTTTCTATAATTAATATTATATATTCCCCCAGCTCACAACTCAAAGATGGCTGCCGTTGAAGTGAGGAATGGCTATAAGTATTATGGCTCCAAATCGAATCCCAAGATTGTGCTCAACCAGCTGAATATGAACGTGATGCGTGGCTCCATGTGAGTGGCATTCGAAATGAGAGTTTATTCCCCAATCCCCATCTCTATAACTTTCTTCATTGCCTTGCCCCCTCTTTAGTTATGGTTTGCTTGGTGCCTCTGGTTGTGGCAAGACTACCCTGCTCTCCTGCATCGTTGGCCAAAGGTGTCTCAATGGTGGCGAAGTCTCTGTGCTGGGTGTTAAGCCAGGAGAACCTGGCAGTGGTGTGCCCGGTTCAAGGGTGGGTTTTATGCCCCAGGAGATTGCCCTCGTGGAGGAGATGACTGTCAAGGAGACCATCTTCTATTTTGGTCGCATCTATGGCCTGGATGATGATCGCATCCGGGAGAAGTTCAAGCTGCTCAAGGAGCTTCTCCAGCTGCCGCCAGCCACACAGATGATCAAGCAGTGTAGCGGTGGCCAGCAGCGTCGGTTGTCCTTTGCCTGCGCCATGATCCATGATCCCGAGCTCCTGATCCTAGATGAGCCCACTGTGGGACTGGATCCCATGTTGAGGGAGAAGTAAGTGTGCTAGGTGCTATGTAATTCCAGCAGAATATATTTAACTTTATTCATGACTCTACAGAATCTGGGATTTCCTTGTGGAGACCACCAGAAATAGCAAATTGGCTGTGATCATTACCACCCATTATATAGAAGAGGCCAAGCAGGCCAATTGCGTAAGTCTAAGTCTAGAGTTTTTAAGAATATAAATTAAATTTTTAACCCTATCTATTATCATACAGATTGGCTTAATGCGCAATGGCGTACTCCTGGCGGAGGATACACCCACCAATATTATGATCAAGTTTGGCACTCAATCCATTGAAGATGCCTTTCTTATTCTGAGTCAGCGTCAAGGGAATGAGGATGAGCTGGCTCAGATCATGGATCGTAATAAGAACCAGGCCTTGCCCACGGCTATACTGCCGCCTGAGGTTATAGACACTCATGAATTGACAACACCCGAAAAACCACCAATACCCTTCGAAGAGCCACCAAATGAGAATCGTAAGAAGGTGTTCTTTACCACCAAGGGCAGGGTCAAGGCTCTGATGACCAAGAACTTTGTGCAATTATTCAGGCAGCCATCGTAAGTTAATGTTTAGAATTAAGCTATAAATTATCTCTATCTAATGAACCTTTTCTTTTTCAGTGGCATTATCTTCATGTTATTGTTTCCCATCATCCAATTGACTTGCTTTTATCTTGCCATTGGCAAGACGCCTACAAATCTAGAGATTGGAGTTTACTCCGGCGAAGTGCAGAGCTATGGGGAGTGTTTTAATGATAGTCTAATCACAGTTTACCACGACGAGGACACCGAACTCTGTCAGTTCCACAAGCTATCCTGCAGATACATCCGAGAACTGGGCGATGATGTGGCCACACGAAAGTACTATTCCAGTGAGGCGGATGCCATTAGTGATGCCAAGAAGGCCATGACTGTGGGTTATCTATATTTTGCTCAGAACTTCAGTGATTCGATATCAACGGTCCTCGAAGATGGCATTCATGCCACCGATGGTGCCGTGGATTTTGCCGAACTGAGCATTCACATTGACATGACAGGTAAGAATCTGGGGCCTGGGGCCCAAAGTATATTGAAATCTATCTAGATTTTCCGCAGATCAACAAGTGGCTTACTTTATGCAACGCAAACTGAGGGACAAGTTCACCACCTTTATGCGCAGCGTTGTCCGGGATTGTAATGTATCCTCAGCCATTGTGGATTTGCCTGTGCAGTTCCAGGATCCCATCTTTGGCAGCACGGAGATTGAATTTCAGCAATATTGTGCTCCTGGTGTGGTAATGACGTGAGTAAAGTATCCTTAAGGATAATACAGTATAAATACTCATGCTTTTCATTTTATGAGCTAATGTTTTCTATCCTATTTTTTGGTTCTCCTACGATTCGGAAAAAGCTCTCTACACCATGTTCATCATTTCCAAATAATGACTTTTAAATCTGCTTTACTTCTTTTAGTTTTAAGTTTTGAGTTTGACTGCAAATTAACTCCATTTTGATTGTCTTGTAGCATGGTCTTCTTCCTGGCCACTTTGATGACAGCTGCGGTGTTTATTTCGGAGCGAATGGATGGCATTTGGGATCGAACTCTATTGGCAGGTGTTTCGGCCACGGAAATGCTTTGGGCTCATCTTCTGACTCAATTGATTATTATGGCCCTGCAGTCCTTTGAGGTGATCATGTACATTGGCTTGGTCTTTGATACCTACAACAATGGGGATACCCTAACACTCATTGGATTGCTCACACTGACTGCCTTTTGTGGCATGCTGTTTGGTAATATGTTTAATATTGTATTTAAGATGTTTATAATAACAAGAAATTGCTTTTACTAGGTCTCTTCATATCCGTCTTTTGTAAATCGCATACGGAGGCCAATTTTGTGGCCACTGGCGCCTTCTATCCCATGATTATTCTCTGTGGTAAGTTAAACTAAGACCAGAATATCCATTAATATAATATAATATTTTGATAAATCATCTTTGCAGGACTTCTTTGGCCCCTGGAGAGCATGCCGCAGCTCCTGCAGGACCTGGTAATGGTCCTACCCTTCACCATACCCTCCATATCCGCCAGAAATGTGATCGAAAAGGGTTGGGGCATCACCAATGCCAAGGTCTACAATGGTTTCCTGGTCATGACCGCCTGGACGATCATCTTCTTTGTGCTCTGCCTGATTGGCATTAGGCGCAAGGCGTAGGATATTCTTTATTTAACGGGGGCATTTCATAAAACACACACACACACAAAAAACACACCTAGTTGTAGTTGTATTAGCATTTTAAATAGGCGATTTTACGTGCATATATCGTTGTAATTTAATAATTAATCGGAAGCATATCACTCGCATTTTGTAGACTCTCATCATACACACACACACAGAAAGAAAAAAAGGGAAATCACATTCATACCAACGAATCATAAGTCAGTCCTTAAGGATTGTACTTAAGAATGCATAAGGTCTTAAGGGTGTCTCACAAAAAATATTTATAATACACACAGCACAGCAGCATATAATCGTACTCATTGACAAAAAACCCAACAAAATTTCTTATTTAAAAACAAAGATGATACTAATCTAAGTTCAACATTTATACCCACATTCTATGCTAAGATAATCAGTGGGAGAAAAAATGGTAAAACTTGGAACAAGTCTTGTATACTAAAATGTGAAATTCTTAGAGCGAAAATTTAAATCAACCAAAAATATCAATTTAAATAAAATGTGTTTAAAAGCAAGTGTGTGTTTATTCTTAATCTGACTTTAATTCTTTATATTATTTACCAAGAGAAAACTGCAGACTGTCAACAAGTTACTCAATATTTGTCTTTCTGGTAAATTCAAAGCAGCGCCAACTAAAGTGAAAGTTCGTTACCCATTCTACCCCTTAATATTTATATATAGATATATATATATATATATGTTGCCTTTAGATATATATATAAAATCGTCTATGCTGGTGTGTGTGTGTGTGTGGGCCAAGGACAAGGACACGTTCACGACGAGGACGTGGCAAAGTTGCTGACACACTTCGGGCTCGAAAGTGCTAGACAGAAAGTCTGCCTCGACTGGATGGCTTCCTCCTCCTCATCCTGCTCTGAACCCTGACCCTCCTGTGCATCCCTCTGCCTCTGACTGGTGTCTGCCAGCAGACATTTTTATTACAAAACTTTATCTTTGCCAAATACGAAAACGACGACGACGACGAGAAGGAGAAAAATATAAAAAGCCAACTCTCGGGGCATCCTGGCACTTCGTCCTGTGTTTGTCCTCGTCTATCCTGCTCCTTGCTGCTTGTGGGTGGTTTAGTTTGGCATTTTATATAACTTGCATAAAATTTGCAAGCCGGAAATCGTTTGCCAGACGATGTGTTTGTGTGTTTTGCGTATCAGCCAAAGGGAGAACTTGTTGCCTGGCCAAGTTGGTTTTGGGATTGAGAATGAGGATTTGCAATGAATCCTGGTTATCTTTATACTACACAAGGTCATTTACATTGCAAATAAAATTACATTTGATTAAAGGTCTACCAACTAACTTGGTAACATGTAAATAATTTAAGTGTATAAGAAATAACAAAACAATAAAGAAAATTAAGGGATATTGAATTACAACATTAAAGCATAGATTAGGGAATTATTAAATCTCATTTCATTGCCCGAGAATTAAAATTAATGACCAAGAATTATCCTAATTAATATTGCATTCAAAGTATGAGTAAAATAATCTTGATTAATGAATTATAAACAAGTAAGTTTATTTATAAATTTGTTCTGAAAGGTTATCTAATTCTTTCTTTAGTTGAAAACATTTATCAGAGATTCTAAATATTTTAGTAAATTACGGTTAAACAATCTCCTTTAAAACATAATTACAGATGTATAGTTAAACACATTTCTTCGAGACACTAAATAGTTTACCAAATAACTTTTAAACAATCTCATTGAAAGCATACATTAAACCAATAAATTAAGTTTAATTTGTGGTCCTTTGTCTAGCCTCGAAACAGACGAAACTATCTCTGGGAAATCCCCCTCTTTGCTGACTCTGGAAAAGCCCCAACTTTTTGGGCAGCAAACAAACTCTGGTTGACTGGGTCAAGTTGCCTGAAAGTAGGCAAACTGAAAAGTTTCCTCGAAACGACGAGTATAAAAACAAATTTTGTGGCCAAAAAGCGAAATTGTTTGACCTTCAACAAATTGCAAACAATATCCACAAAACTGTGAGACTGTGGAGCCCCCTCCAAAATCCTCACCCTCAACAAAGTAAAACAAAAAATATACAGAACAAATCCTTTCTCCTAGACTGGCCCAAATGTTGTTACAACTTTTGCTCCATTTCATGCATATATATAAAATTTTTCGGCTTTAAATGTGACCAGGAATGGGGGTTAGAGAGGTGGCCCGTTTGCAAAGTTGGTCTAAAGCTGTGGCTTGCTCTCGTAATTTGACCTCCAAAACACAAGTTGAACAAACTCAGGGAAAGACAAAACGAATGTCGAGGGAAAAAGGAGTAATATTTAAACCTAATTTTAATGAAGGTAAAAGTGTTTTGTTTACATTTTGTCTTTACTTTGCGGCTTTCCCCAAAAACAGCTGCAAATGTGTGCTTTATTTCTTTGTTTGTGTGTGCGAGTGTGTGTGTCTGCAAGGACTCGCCTTTGTGTTTGCATAGACTCTGGCATCCTGTTTCATCAGCCATCCCCCTCCTAGCTTTAACAACAATTTCCATTTCAGGTTCATTGACTAAAGGTGTGCGCAATGCCTAAAAAGGCAGGTGGAGTGCCAGGTTCTGGATGCAGAAAGACGCAGTCAATGAGTTGGAAACAAAAGGATACGTAAATCGATTAATTAAAGACCTAAAAAGTCAAGGTTTGTGTTTAAATTTTGAGCCAAAAGTTAAGTAAACAAAGGAATTTATTAAGAAGTTACTTTATATCTTTAATGCTTAAGTGTTAAGGATAATTTTGTACTGAGAAAGGAAAGTTTGGAACAAGAAATGTTATAGTTTTGATTTTAAATATAGGTAAGGAGTATAATAAACTATATCTACTTTAATAAAACTTAATTAGAGAGAGGCAACTTATGTTAATTTCCAAAGAGTTTAGAATTAGCTGCTAAATTTAAATTCTAACCCATCTTTTGGTAATTAAACTACAGTTTATATAGAGCATTCCTTTTCTTTTTAAACATTTAATAAAAACATCCCCTCAAAATCAAAAGTCAAGTCAATCCTCCTTAACCCAAAGTAAACAAATATATTTGTTCAAGTAAATCAATGATCATAAAACTCACTGCTCCCCCTATCATATCCATCAGTTTTCCACATCAAATGAGGGACAATATTTTGGGAAAACTAAAAACCATCAGGCAGTGAAAATGAAAGATGACACAATAGACACTGGGACTGGGGACTGGGAACCCAAATCATTGCCGACTTTTGCATTTCATTGACCCTTTAAATGGCTAAGATACACACAGAGCGCACAGATGGCACCGCCTACATATGACTCTGTGGATGCTGCTCCAGCTCCTGCTGCTGATTCTGGTCCTGTTTCTGGTTCTGCTCCTGCATCATGTCAGTCAAAGTTCTTTCTCTCGGCAAAATGGAGAAAAATTTGATTTGAGAGTTTATTCAATTTGCTGCATCTGTGTGTGTGTGGGAGGCACATCCTCCAGATACACACACACACTCTGGCATTTAAGTGCACGCTGAACTGATGTCTGATGGACAACCAGAGTTATGGGGCAGGTGGGGGCGGCATGGTCCAGGCAGGTGAGGGGTGTTGAGGGGGATGTGGGCTCTGAACTCTGCCAATATAATACAATCAACGTTAGAGTTCGATTCCATGCGCATTCGATGCGTTTGAGGTAGCCACCAGTCCAGCTACCGATGCGTAGGTCCACCCCTCAACACGGCAAGTGCACCACCACCCTCGCCCCACATCATCATCCGGATCTCCATCTCCTTCCATCCTTAGTACCATCTCCTCCTGCCATATCCCAGCCATGTTCCAACACACACTCGCACACACACTCGTTGGCTTGGTTTTTGCCCCCATGTGCAGTGGTAGCCTGCATATATATAGGCTCGTTTCATTCACTCGCCCGAGCATTTTGTTCGATTTTTAGTATCCTTCTCGCTCGCTCCCTATGTACCATGTCCTGTGTCCTGTGTGCCCCGTGCTCCTGAGCTCCTCTGCTGTGTAGTAGTGCTGCACATAGGAGCGAGGCACAGCAGAGCAGAGCACGGGGAGGCAACTGGGATCCTGGCCACACATGCGTTTGGCCTTTTGCCTGGCACACATAGCAGCAGCAACAGCAGCAGCAGGAGGAGCAGCAGGAGCAGGAGCAGCAGGAGCAGGAGCAGGAGCAGCAGGAGCAGCAGGAGCAGGAGCAACAGCAACAGTGGCAATGGCAGCAGCAGTGTCGCGCTGTGTTCCAATCGTTTCATATGGCCCAACTGCTGATTGGGTTTGCACAGTGGTTATGGTAATTCATTTAAGGGTATTTAATTATACTTAAAAATTTCTATAAAAAATCATATGTAAAATTGGTCATTCATCACGGCTTTATATGAAAGTAAATTTAAGATCAATCAATCAATCAATATCTAATAAATCTTGTCCGTCATTTTTTAAATTTATCAAAATCGAGTTAAGCTGACGATCAACTTTATGTACATATATCTTAAACATTTGCAACATTAACGTGCTTCTAACTACATTTGTATTGTTGTTATTATTAGTATTATATGATCGAATCGGAAATTTATCATGAATAGCTTAAAATATTCACATTCCTTGAAATTTATTAATATTTTATTAATATTTTTTATATTATAAATTGCTTGACAAATCAAAGACTAAAAATCTCATAACTAAGCTAAAAATGAGTTAATTTTAATTCGGAAAGCTCTCCTATGCTAGTTTTTATTAGATTTATAAATCTCCATACTCAATATAAAATGTTAAAAAAAATAAAATTTTTATCGATTTTTTTAAAATTTTAACCTCTTATCTTTTTTTGAAGAAAATTCCAAAAATATAGATTTCTTCCGGACATGCCTAGATCGACTCAGCTGTTGATGCTGATCAAGAATATATATGATTTATAGGGTAGGAAATGATTCCTTAAATGCATTTAAACCCTGGAAGTGAATAAAAAATACCTCTTAATAGAAAAAAGCTGGATATTTTTTTTTTATTTTTCTTATTTATATATTTAAATATTTTTTTATAATCCCACTGTGCACAAAAGGCAGTGCAAAAATTGCGCACAGCCAATGCAGCGACCGAAAAAACAACAAGGACAGAGGCAGAGAGCGCGGCAGCAATACATGCGTTGGTCGTGGGGATGGGGAGGGGGAAGGTGGGAGGAAAACTCCGGGGGAAAAGGCGCGATTGGAGTGGAGTGGGTGGGACCATTGGGGAGGCTTCGTTGCGTCACACTTGTGGATGGGAATGGAAATGGAAGTGGACCATTGAGTGGGGGGGAGTGGGTGGTCTTTTTGGAAAAACGTGGACATGAACGCTGGCGAAAATGGTGGCAGCGACGCAGCCTATTTCGCTGGCCAGGAAAAATAAGCAGGAGGCGTGGACGCGGCTGCAGAGGGACAAGTACGCAGCAGACGACGCACAAAATGCAATACTCCCGGGGGAGGTGGGTGTATGGCAACCCAACACACACACACACACACACACACACACGCGCAGGAAAATGCAGTCGGGGAAAAACCAGGAGGCACACGAGAACCTGCACACACCAGTGCACTTGGGGACTATATGCGAGAGCTTGGATGTCATGTATGTATTGCCATTGACCAGGCTCCAAAGGCTTCCCTCTCGCTCTGGCTCTCGCTTGGGCTTATATCCTTCTGGCCTGCTCGCTTGTTTGCCAATTTATTTTGCGCACAATACGAAACACGGAAAATGCATGAGGCCGCCCAGCAACCACCCACTTTTGGCCGAAAAAAAACAAAAAAGAAAACTGAAACGAACGCAATGATAGCCACACAGCAGAGCTGGCCAAAAGCAACAACAACAACCAGGAGGGAAAAACGGAAAAGAAAAAATTGCACAAATTCCAGTTCGATTTTTGGCCATAATGCAAAAGGCTTGCTCTCTCTATCTCCCTCTCCAATGTATATGCTGTCTCTGTTGCTTTTGCATTCTGTGGCTGCCACTGCTGCTCCTTGCTGCTCCTGCTCCTGCTCCTGTTCATGTTTGTTGTTATTTTCCGTTTGCCACTTTGTGCGTGGATTTTCCCTTTTTCCTTAGTTTCCTATCTCTCTCTTCTTGCTTTTCCCGGCTTTTTTCTAGACTTCCCTCAACTTTTCTATTTTTTTGGGCCGCGACTTCCACTTTGATGGAACGAGCGTCGCGTTTTATTTTGTTCCTGCTTCTTTGTTGCCCCTGACTTTTGGGAAAACAAGAAAAATCACAAAAAAAAAAGGAAAATACTAACGGGTTCAGCGGTAGTACACACTCGTAGTAGCTTTTTATGGCCAACGTAGTAGTTGGAACCAAGTCATCAGCCCTACGCACTGGGCTTAGATACAAAAAAAGTAAAAAAGTTTGAAAGAAATGGAACGAACGAGAAAGGAAATAGGAATAGCGACGAAGGATTGAAGGAAAATGTGGCACAAAGGAGCCAAATGTCCTAAAGAAAAAACAAAAAAAAAGTCAATTGGAAAAAGGAAGCTGAGAATGCCAGAGAGACACAATTTTCGTAGGCAAACAGTTCTTCTTCTCCTTTTTTTTTTGCATCTATGGAATGACAGTATCTTGAAGACATATTGCTGCAAATTTCAACATCAAAGTTGACTCACTGAGCATCCAATTTCAATTCAGTTGAGATACAAGATAAACAAAAGTACTGAACTCGATATTATTGCCAGAGATATATATCAAAAAGAACACACAATAAACGGCAAAGATATTAAAGAAGTCTATATTCTGGTTAAATTATTTAAGGAACTTGATAGTTTTGGAAACAAAAAAGAAAGTCTAGGTGCTGAATCATAGGTAAATATATATTTATGTCTTTATAATAGATTACTCTAGATTTTCTCAACTGAATAATATAATGTTTACAATAGATTCGACTTTGTTTTTCCCACTTTAAGTTCAGGCTGCTAAAGCTGATTAAGATTCTGAAACACTTTCTCCTAAATAAATAAACAAATTACAATATTATTTTCTCTTCAAATTACCAATAAATTCTCTTAAGTCACAACAATCCCAAGCATCTCCTAATCATAAGAATTCCCAACCTAAGTCACACTTCTCTTCATTAAACGAACCTTTTCAATTTAAATCCAGCTCCTGCTTCCTTTAAGATCACTTCGATTTGAGATAAAGTTCAATGTACATGAGGATGGCAAAGAAAACACAACATCAGGTTAGGAAAACTGCAGCCATCGATGGAGTATTCCATTTCAGCAGAAGGAAACCGCTCAAGGCGCAGGCCAGGGAAAAGCAAAAGATGCTGGACCAGAGCATTCGAAACGGAAGCCAAGGGAGGCGGAATTGAGAATCTAACATTTGCCGTGGATAAGTGCAGGTGGTGCCCATTGGGCGGTGGATTGTGGTTAGCGATGAGTGGGAGTTGGGAGTCAACAAAGTGATTCAGAAGCAGGAAAATGTTTAGGCAAAGGCTGCACCCAGTAAAATTCAAAACAATCCAGGACATGCAAATGAGGATATGGAGAGCAAACTCTTAATAACAATGAATTTTTAAATTTTTTAAGCGTTTTTCTGACTAAGAAAATTATATGATTTGCAAATATAATTAGTGAATATTGTGACAATGATAAAAAACATAGATCTAGAAATTTAATAATTAAATAAAGAAGCTATAGATAAATAGAAATACTTATGTTTCTTTGACTTAATAAACTTTGATAAAGTTTTCAAAAGATATAGCATTATTGCTCTTTTCCCTTTGTTTTTTTCCAATGAAGCCTTATGGTATGGCAGGGAATAGCAGATGCATCCATCCTGCTATTAAGTTAATTGTCCTGATTAGCATGCCTCCATGTCTGTTAGCCTCGTTGAAATTTTTTGTGCTTTTGACATTCGTTTGGACATGGAGTTACAGAATAAGAGAGACTTCCCTTGTACGCGAGGCCACAGCCCGAGCATGGAGCATAGAATGGATCTCTAGAATGGGGCATAAATGTGCCCATTACTCCCCCACCAGTTTGCCATTAGCAACAGGAGAGCGGTGGAGAGCTGCATTTTGCACTTGCAGCTGCAGCTGCAGTTGCAGCAACTAGAAACAACAGCAACAAAGTTCGGTCAAACGTCAGAAATGTTCATTCGTTCGCTTTTGCTATTGAACGCAGGCCAAAAGCGGCCTGTTAAAACACAGGGAACCACCCTCTTGGCCACCACCCGGCACTACCCACCACCCCCAAGGAGGCGAGGAGCATGCGGCAGGACGATGTGCAGGCCCGGGCATCGGGCAAAATGCAAATGCAAATGGGCAAAATGCGCTTTGACGACGACCATGTGGATGGAGGCGATTGCGTGGACGGTGCTGGAGGAATGGAGAAGGTGGTGCGGTGGTTCGGTGGTGCGGTGGACTCTGGGCGGACAGGACAGTTGGACGGGGCAGGCGCAAAACGCATTTCAAATCGAAAAGTGGAACTTCACTCATTTGGCGCGGGGAAATGGCGACAGGTAAATAACCAGAGTTCGTTTCTCCACATAAGCCTGATTACAGGGTAGCAAACAAGGGGTGTTTTAATAGTGGGTTGGTTGCTTTAATGAATTTAACTACATTATTATATTTAAAAGAAATATTATTGATAACAGCTTTCCAAACTTATGGCTTTGTAATAAGATATTTATTTAGAAAGCATTGTAAGCTAAAAATATCTATAATTGGCATTCTTCAAAACATTTATTAACTCTCATCATGTATGAACTTTTAGTAATTAATCTGGAATAAGTTAATTTCCCTATTTTGTAGTGAAAATTCATCATCCTAAAGTATCCCTGCATATTTCTAATTAAAGCCTAAAGCAGGGTATCAATGAGTCGAAGCTTTGATAACCTAATTTTCAGTTTTTGCTTTTTTAGCTCGTCTTGGTGGATGGAAAATTGACTAAATGCAACGTTTTCGTGTTCATTACGCTCGGAGAGGATCCCCGAGTTCTGTCGATATCGAAACACGGCCCAGCCATCTCTAATGGCCAATTTTCCCTCTAAACCCTCGATGCCAATTGGGAGTTTTTCATATCGGCGCAGTATGTTTTCCTTTTTTTCGGATTTTCAGGCTTTGGTGGTTGATTCCCGCTTGGGACAGTGCAACCCGGGGGGCGGGGTTGGGCTTGGGTTTGAATTTTGGGTTTTAGGTTTTTGGGTGGGTTAAGGTTGGGGTGGTGAGGCGCGAATCGACGACTCGGGGTGGTCGCTAAAAAGTGCATTTCCAGTTCTATATAGTGTCCCGTTCGGGGATTATGGGGTTGTGCACGGTTGCGTCAAAAGGTCAGCGACTATTCCACAGGGTGGATTATGACTGACGGTCTGATAAAGCAAGGAATCTAAACATTTTTTTTTTATTTTCACAATATACGAACAGAAACCGTTTGTAAAACTTGACTTTAACGGGTTTTATGGTACAATTGATATGATTATCAATTAAGATTTCAGTTTTTGAAAGGATTTTAATATGGTCTAGTTGTTGAACAATGGCCACTTCTGTCTTAAAACGAGATAAACATCTAATAACCGTAATAAGAATAACTAAACCCATATTTGAGAGAAATTTACATTTATTAAAAACAGATTTATACCCTTTTTATGTTTCTTTCAATTATTATTTAAACCTTTCATTAATCATTTGTAAAAACTTGATTTTTCGAAATTTCCCAGGTTAACGAGAATAAAAATAGCAACAAAATTGTGTTATCTTAATAATTAAGCATCGAATTATCTTATTTTATTTCTTTTTTATGCTGTACATATTCATTGTTCAATGATAAAAAGTCTCAATAATTTAAATTAATGTATTTTTTAAGAAATAATAGACTATTTCCAAATTTAATATGAAGTAAAAAAGCAGCATATTTCTTTTTTCGATTTTTTTAGCATAAGAGAGTCAATTAGTTGCCTATTTTACAGTAAAAAGTATTTATTTTTGTGCTTTTGTTTTGACCAAAACAATTATAAAATATAGCTAAAGCTGAAAAAAAGCTACCGCACCTTTAAATTGAGTACTTATTATTTTTAACGTTCTTAAAAGTTCTTGAATTAATTTATTTTAGAATCCATATAAACCACTTAAAAACCTTAAAAACTTCAAGAATAGCAATTTCCCTTATCTTTCATCTGTTTTCTTATTGCAAAGTTTCCATATTACTGACCTGCACCATGTTGATGTTTTTGTGTGGGTGTACCGGGTAACGGAGATCCTAATCCAACGGTAAATGACGTTTCACTTGCACTACTAAATTCACCGAATGCCGGCAACGGTAAATCGACGTCTTTCGCGAGCGGGACAGCAATGAGATTCGCGCGTGAGAGCGAGGGAGAACGACTACGCCAGCAAAACAAACGCAAAAGCAGCTACAGCAACAATTTAACTCAAACGCACGTGGGAATTTCACTTTTGTTTTAGTTCCAGCGCCTTAATTGAAGTTCTTATCCAATTCATTTAATCCACGCACACACACCTGCATTTGGGGGAAAGACGTAGGAGCGCGACAAAAAGGGAATTAAAAAACACGCGGTTGCCGATTTTAATTTTGCGTTCAATTTGTTGTTGTCCAGGCGTGTTTTCTAGCAATTGCACTTCACTTGGCGGCTAGTGCATCGGTTCACTTGGCTGCGCAGCCTCGCGGGTACTCTGGGCTTCCACGATTTTCCGGGAAAACGAACCGTTCGCGTTCTTGGTCAGTTTTTTTCTATTCTTTGCTGTTTTCTTTTTTCCGTTTTCCGACGCGCAGTCAGCTGTTTGCGATATTTTGTGCTGTTATTTAACATTTTACGTCTTACATGTTAAGTGATTTTACACTTTTAAAGATACATGGGGTCAAAGTCTCACTGTTGGTGTAGAACTTTCTACATGGGGTCGAATTCTAGTAGGATTCGCACTCGTGTGCTGTCGGGTGGAGGTGGTTTTAGGTTGCTGAAAATATATAAAAATACCATTAAATCAATATATGTTTTTCGTATTTGTTGCTATTTTTTCCGGTCACTCTGAATCCCTGAAGCTGTTATTTAACATTTGACACATCTAGATAACATCTTACATGTAGACATTAAAATACACTAACAGCCCTGCTCTCATTAACAGAATTCTCTCTCGTTGGCTGTCTCGTGGATGTTAATTAACATAACATTTCCGGGTGCTGTCGAGTGTCGGGTCGTTGTTGGCTGCTTAAAACATATCAAAATACCAATATATCGATATTTTTTGTGGTATATTTTGGTATATTTTATTTGGTTACTCTAAATTCCCGAGCTGTTATTTAACATTTATACGTCTTAATAACAACAAACTTAACAGAGTTAACAGAATTTTGCGGGTAAATTTAAAAAGAGAGAGTTAACAAAATGTTGGCCTGAATTCAGAAAAATGACAGAGGTTAACAGATTTATAAGCATGAATTAAAATAGTTAGGGATGTTTAGCTGTTTTTTAACATTTTATATCTTACATATCTAGTACGCCATTTTACATGTTTACATACAGTAAATTTGCGTCCGTAACAAAGAACCCAATTTGATCAAGCAGTGAAATGGTCGGTAATATGTACCACAATTAGACAAAGCAGTTCTGAATGGATTCAGTGTTACTGCTTTTATTTTATTAGTCACTATTTTTTAAATATGACTATTCATATTTCCCAATTAAAATAATTCCTATTTTTTGAAGCAAAAAAACATTATTTTTGTAGATAAAAATTGTTATCAAATAAGTTTTATTTTACAGGCGAAAAGTAGCATTCCATTAAAAGAGGTTTCACGTTCTATTTTAAAAAGATAGACAACAACTGTGTTAAGTGTTAACGCTTATATACGTTTTATTTTTATATCAATTTTTCATAGGTAAGAACAGAAATGTAATGTATTTACAGTGTTAAGATCGATCGCTCTCCTCTTGTTGCTCAGCGTTTAAATGTTTTTATTTTTTTATATTAAAAATGAATTCTTTCGTGTCCTACTTAATTCAAATCCATTACAGAACTGCTGCATATATGTGTATGTGTGTACTTGGAATCGATTCCACAATATCAACTAAATAGATAAAACAACTTTTCATATATAGATTACCATAATCATAATCACTGCAGGTCGCAAAACTAAAGATAGGAATATATATATTCACGACAATCTTCACATGAATCTCAAATCTCAATCTTGCAGAGGGGATGATGCAAGTTATGCAGGGGGTATGCCTGGGCTTGTGGACTCTTGTACATCAAATACGCTCACTAAAATTAATAATTCATTTATAAATTTATTACTTTAGCTATATTTATAGTTATGAATATTCCGTTTCGCTTAAATTTCTGCTGCTGCATCTTTACCTTTACTCATTTGCTTACAATTAGGGCTTGCATTATGCGTAATTCTACTCTTATGCATGCTTCGCGTACGATTCCTATCATGGGTGGATTTTGGATGTATTCTTGTGTGGCTGCTGATGTGTGTGTGTTTGTTGGATGTGTGGTGTGGATTTGGGCTTACTGCTATACAACTTGAGGGCGAAAAATTAGTGTCCGGAAGAAACAAAAAATGATTAGAGAATTAAGAATTATATTAGAGGGATAATATGTATGTTACTGTGAGGCGGAGTATCGCCCTATCTATCCAATAGCATTTTAAACTGTTCAATTTTGAATGGCATTCTCGGATAAATTGTGGCTTGCAAAAGTGAATTTTACATTTCTGGCGGGCGCTCCTGCATTGGTTAACACTATCTTTCGGGCTTGTTGTCTGGAGAGAGAGGTCATCCACAAAATCTTGGTCAAAAAAATGTTATTGCTGCACTGCTGTCCGTCCGCTGCCGTTGCCGTTGCGTTTTTGGAGATGAGTTCGATCCAGATCCCATGCGCTTGCGCCGCTTAGGCCAAGTAGTTGTACACCTTGCGATCCTCGGGCGATCGTTGCAGATACTCGCGCTCGATGAGGCCCTCGATCCGCTTCTTGATGAACACAGGCGAGGGCAAGAAGCGCGACTTGAGCTGCGACGTGACGTCCGAGACCAGCAAATTGTGCTGTAATATTTAAAATTTAAAGTTAAAATAAGAGGAATTAACTAATGTGCCAGCAAGTACTCACCGCCATACGCTTGCGCGCCTTCATGATGCGCACAATTGCCGCCTCGATCTCATGCTTTCGATCCTCATCGACCTTGCCGCGCGTCTCCTTACGCTCCGGCTCCGATTCGCCCTTCGCAGCCACCGTCTGAATCTTTACCCTGTAAGATTTACCCCAAAAAGGCATTAGCATAAGTTATATAATTGGTAATTTAGCCATATCTTACCTGTGGAACTTTGAGACAAAGGCATCGTTCACATAGAACTCATCCGTCGGCTCAATGTCCTTGGTTTTCGTCTTGGAATTGCGCACCAGCAAGCGCTGAGCTGGCTTGCCCATGGACAGCGACTGGAGGGCTCGAACCAGCTCTCGCTCCGGTATATCCGTCTCCTGATGGATGTCATCGTAGGTGAGCACATCGCGGTTGTTAAACAGCAGCAGCACGCACATCTGCAGGAGAATTAGGATTTAAAATCATCTCAAATGGTCAAAGAGACCCCCTTCAATCTCACCTGGTATGTGGACACCTGCAGTATGTGCTTGCGTGTTGTGGTGGGCACTGGACACCCACTCGAACTGGAGCTGGGTGCATCCTTATCCTTGTCACTGTCGGCTGCTTTCCGGCCATAAAACACAGCGTTTATATAGGCAGTGCCTGTGCATAATAAAAATTGAATTAAAAATGGGAATTTCTAAAAGAATCTTCTCCTTTAGCTCACCCATTTGAGGCTGTAACGTTAGCTGACGTCCTGAGTGCTTGTTTAGATAAAAGTTTTTGAAAATATCAAAGGCTTCGCGGGGTGCGGCGGGTATGTTGCAATTGGGAGTCGCTGTCTGTTATGCAAATAAACCATTTACATTAGAAACTTTTCATATAAATTAAATTATAAGAGATAAACTCACCTGTGTTGGCCAGAATCCAGTGGTTAGTATGCGTACCGTTAGCTCAACACCGCCCAGGGATAAATTGTTATTATTTACATAGTTCTTGAACTCATCCATGATCGTATTGGAGACGGACATGTCCTTAAACATGCCCTCTAGCTTCGAGGTGAATTGACAGCCGCATTCAGTCTGCAATCAAAGATAATACAACAATTATTATTAAACTAAAATTAAATATAGAATGCAAGCTTAACCTTTAGTTTGGATATCATGTTCTTCTCGAAATCATCAGAGACTGATTTGTTTAGCAGCAGTCGCTTGGCTAAATGCGTCTTGTAATAGCGCTCAAAGACATCCTTCTCCAACAGGAAACGGAAGAGAACCATGGTCTTATCCAGTATGGACTCGATCTCTTGCTCACTCATCTGTAAGCAAAAACAGAGTTAGTCTATAACATCTAAAGTAACCAATAACATGAAACACTCACTCCCTTGCCGCCCTTTTTCAGTTTGTCGTCGATGAAGAGTGACAGATACTCTGGGGATTTGTTGTTCAAATTCAAGAAATGCTCAAAGTCCGACGAGATGACATTCTTGAAGATGCGATCGTTGGCGAATGAGTGGACCAGAAACTGATCGAAGCGATCCTTGAGATCTAGCAGGTTCTGCACGAATGTAATGGGGTTCGTGTTGCCGTTTTCCTCCTCCTTGACCAGCATGCGTCCCTGCTCTCGCAAATACGCCGACATGGTGTCCGCTATCACCTTGAGGCCCTCCTCCTTGAGGCGCGAGAAGAGCTTGTATGTGCAGGCCAGATCCTCGGTCTTTGAGTTCTTGATCATATACACAACGCCCGAGTTTTCCATTTCGACAATGGGACGCATATGTTTCTTGATCAGCTCCTCCTCGACGACGCGCACAATTCGCGGCTCGGTGTCCTTGTCCAGATAGAGCGCTGCCCTTGACGATTCCTCCGTGATGCGGGCCTCTACTTTCTTGATATAAACGCCAGCGTTGTTCTCGGCAAGAAAGTTTTGCGACTCGAATTTGTAAAAGGCCGCCGACTGGGCAAGGAACGGCTTCTCAAAATCCTCCTCGTAGACGGTGCGAGAGTTGATGCCCAATGTGATTAGCATACTGCAGGCGTTCTTAATTGCCAAATGGTTAATGGCCTCGCCATGTCGCTCCTCCATAACCATGCCCAGCAGCTTCTCCCGCAGGGCCTTTTGGATTTCGCCATATCGAACCACCTGGTAAAGATACAAATTAGAATCGAACTACAAAGATTCATAGGTTTCTCTCCTTACCTGATCCTTGAATAAAATTAATCCCAGATTGTACACATTGTCCACCTCACGCTGCTGCACATAGACTCTGTCCATGTACATGAGTATGTCGCGTATCATCACCATAGAGGTCTGATGATCCGTCCAGGCCTGGTTCAATTTGGGCAGGAAGTTGCTGTGCAGACTCTCCAGGACCTCCGCTCTAACCTTATGCTCCAGATGCTCGGAAACAACCTCTCTCAGCCCGTAGTATAGTCTGTTGCCGTGCTTGTGCAGCACCATGTTGTAGGCATTTCTATAGAGCTGTTCGAATGACAGCCCGGAATTGTTCTTTTTCTGTATCTCCTGGATAGCGTTCTTCAGGCTGGCCCAAATCGTCTCCACGTACTTTTCGTCCATGGAGGCCTGCAAGGGAGAGAGAAAAGAAAGATTAATTCGTTTGAATACATTAGGATTTAAGGAATAACATAGATTGGGTCTTAAATTTTACAAGTTCCTGACTATACAATCCTATCTATAATCTTTGTAAAGTATTCAAGTGCTAACATTGAAGGCCTTTCGCTTGTATTCGGGCAGCCACAGCGGGTACTTGCGTACGATGTCCTTTGGACGTGGGCCCTCCGCAATATCCTTGATATCACGACCGTTGGCTTTCGCGATTGTGCTGTCAATGGAAGCGGGAGCAGCAGCGGGAGGCGGCGCTGTAACTGGGTTGGGCGTGGGCGTAGGAGAAAGTCCTGTTGCCGAACTATTCTCCGCTCTCGCCCGACCCGTTCTGGCGACATGGTGGCGCCTCTCAAATGTATTCTGCCAAGGCGTTGCCAGTGACTGATGTTGTTGTTGTTGTTGTTGATGGTGATGGTGATGCTGATGCTGCTGCTGCTGCTGCTGCTGCTGTTGTTGTTGCGATTGAAAGGAAGTATTGCCCTGTAGTACAGAGTGCCTGGGCATACGCAAGGCACCGCTCGAGGCTCCGGTGTCGGCAGTTTCCCTGTTGACGTTGCCACTTCCACTGCCTATCGGATGAAAGTTATTGGATCCAGCCACAATGCGACTGTAACGGTTGCCATTGACGTTAAGATTGTTTAGGGGTTCCGGCTGCTGCTGGCGGGGATTGCGACCTTGCATATGGTAACGATACTGCTGGTCCAGTTCTCGTTCCCTTTCCCTATCTCGCTCCCGTTCACGATCCCGCTCCAGTTCCCGCTCTAGATCCCGCTCCAGCTCCCGCTCACGCTCCCGCCCCCTGTTCCGCTGCTGTTGCTGCTGCTGCTGCTGCTGTTGGATCCTCTGCTGATCCTCGCTCAGCGCCAGCGAGCGGCGAGCGGTGGCCTGATGTGGGCCCGCTGCCGTGCGGGACCGACTTGGGTTTGTCGACCTAATGGTGCCGGCTTCCTTTCCACATTCGCTAAGCAGTGCCTTCAGTTGTCCGCCGCTGCTCCTCCTCCTCCTGCTGCTCCTGTGCTCCGTGCTCGGGCAAAAGTTATTTGCTCGTTGTTCACCCTGCTCCCTTCATACAGGTCTGCACAGGCTCTCTTTGTGTGCTGGCGGGAACAATAATTTCTCGAAAACAACGATTGAATTGGATGTAACTTAAAAACTAAAATGTGTTTGAATTTTCACCCAGCCCCAGGTTGTTGTTTTGATGTTTTCTTCAAATTCAAATTTTTTCATTCATTTTTGGGATTTTTCTTTCAAAATTGATTGATTTTTAAAACGAATCGGACGGACGAAAGTGGTTGGATATATAATATGTACATATGTGTTTTAGGGGATAACCAACTGCTGGGGCATTTTGTAACATTCCTCTGGCCGGGGGCAAAGTCCTCGGGGGAACTATCTTATCGGAAAATTGTGCAATTTCATGCTGCGATCAGCGGATTCTGATTTCAGGTAAATTATAAATTTCACAACTTGTGACACTAGAATAGCACTGGGCAGGGATATACATATATTTGTATATTCAAAGGTCTTTACATTACCTTTGGAATATTTGTTTACTTGCAAATAAAAGGTCCTAATCGTTCCTTTTACTTTAAAATACATTTACTATTTTATACCGAAATTCGACACTTCTCTCGTGCAAAGTGAATAAAATGGATTTAAAACCCATTAAAGAAGCATAAGTAGGCGAACAATATATATATAAAATTATAAATGCTATGTAAAAATTAGAACAAAGAAAAACAAATAGCTTTGAATAAAAATATAGATAATAATAATAATTAACTATTAAAAAGTGTAGATTAAGCCACAAAATAACAATATAAGCAATAAAAAGATTTTCATCAGAAATATAGAATCGAATCGGAAATCGATGAAACTTAGTTTAAAAATGTTCACATTCTTTGAACCGATATTTATCAACATTTTTTTTCGAAAAATTCAATATTTAAAAGCACATAACTAAGCCAAAAAAGCATTAATTTCCATTCGGAAAGCTGTCCTATGTTAGTTTTTATTAGCTTAACAAATCTGCACACTCAAATTAAATTTTAGACAAAATAAAATTTTTATCAATTTTACATTTTTAATTTATTAATTTTACCGCTTAAAAAATTTCTGCCGGAGATGTGTAGATCGATTCGACTGTCGATGCTGATCAAGAATATATATGATTTATAGGGTCGAAAATGATTCCTTCACTGATTTATAAGCTTCAGACTAAAATTATAATACCCTTTAAGGTATAAACAATTACTGGTTCAGTGTTTGGATTCTGTGTTGTGAATATCAAGAAATGTTAATGATTTTATTAACATTTAGTTATCAGCTACCTCTTTACCTTTAAAACCCTTAATAATAAAGTTAAGTTCTGATTAAGAAAGCCACGTTAAATCGTTATTTTACTTTCTCTTTAACAAACATATGAACCTCTGACAAGACCGCTTATCTATAGCACCTCTTCTGATTATCATTTCAGAAAGGTAATAATAAAATAATCAATTTGGATAGGGTAGGGTAAGGATAACTAAGGAATTTCCCTATAACTCTTACCGGAAAGGCACGTATACGCATTTTGCCCTCCTTCTTTGGAGGATTTCCCCGTAGATTCATATTGTTGAGGCGTCGGCACTGCTCCTCCACTTTATTGGTGATCCAGACGCCGAAGCGGGGGAGCTGCAGGCGCAGATGCAGATGCAGATGCAGGTGCTCGTTGCGCTCAGCGCTCAGCGATTTTCCCCCCGATTTTGTTGCGACTCCCTCTTATGACTGTTGTTCTCGTCTCGATTTTCCGTTGACTCTGGATATGGCGGCTGTGGGTGTGTTTGCGAATGTAAACAAAGTCCTCAGAAGGCACGATTCTCAGTCTTCGGGCAGTTCTGTAAAGTAATAAGCGAGGTTTTAATTACTTTGTTCATATTTCATGATGGTCATGTTAAGTGGCGACTTCTTGGGATTAATTTTCTCCTTTCCCTTTTTTTATTTTATTTTATGCAAACATTCCACTCGAAATGTTAGGGTGTCAATCGCGATATATACACATACACACACACACACAAACACACATGCATATATACATATCTATTTGGGGAAGCGGCAACGGCGGCGGTTTTTATATCGCGAATAGTTCGCAATTGCAAATTTTTGGTGGATTTGTGTGTGGGCATCCAGGGGGTAATCTCCTCGAAGATCGTCTACTGCGCCGCCACTTCCTTTGTCCCCGGGAGTCCATGGAATGGACCGATTTTATCGGCTATATATACATATTATATCGCGCTGGCTCTGCAGATCTCTCCGCGTAAAAGAAACAGAAGGAGAAAAAAAAAACTCACACGGCGACAAAATAATTGTTATGTACATATGTGCGTGCGTGCAGTGCATGCAATTAAAACAAAAGTCACTGGGATATGCACTCGCGATCGGGAATAGATTCTGCCAAATACCAAAAGGTAGTCGTGTACACTTTATTTTTCCATTTGTTGCTGCTCGCTGGCTTTATTTTCAATAGTTATTTTTCTATTTCACTTTGTCATGGGGGAAAAAGACTGGTGGTAGGGTTACATGTGTGCGTGTGTGTCTGTGCGTATGCGAGAGTGGTCGTTTCTCTGTCTGCGTTTTGCGCTTGTGGGTGTATGTTTTTGTACCTTTGCTCATCAAGCGGCTCTCGCGTACGCTTCTTTCCTCGATTCGCGCTTTCCCAATTAATTTTCACTCTTGCAATCGCTTCTGTATCTCTGCATCTACTATTTTGTTCGATTTGTTGCTATTTTTTACATTTACTTGCATTGCTTTGCAATTGTATTGATTGTAATTCGTAATAGAGATGGACGATAGTCGCGTACCTTTAACTTTCTAGTCACAGTTATTTGCATAGGTAGCGACTCGTGATTTGCGTTGGTTTTAGTTTGCAATTGGTTTTTGCTAAATGGAGGCTAATGTTGGTTACTTTTAGTTTACATTTAGCTTATTTATTAATAAATCGTAAATTGGTAATGGCTTAAATAATTGAAAACAATATAAACACAAATATTATTATTGTGACGTGACTAATAATCGAAAATTTTTCCATCTCTATTTTTCAGTGTTGAGCAATGCCAGTCTCTTAAAACATATGGCAGCTCTTCGTCATATGGTGCTGTGAAGCGATGAATTCAGTTTCTTATTTGTAACAGCCCTAAAAGTATGCCGCGAAGTTTCGGAGGGCGCGCAAAATTCATATTTGAAATGTTAAAAGAAAAATTTATTGAGTATTATGTTTTAATCAGTGTTTTTTGCTTTTTGGTAAGTTTATATAAGTATTTGTTCGGATTAAGATGTTTTTACTTCTAAAAAAAACTGTTAGGTTATATTTTAAACACTATTTCTAGTGTGTTAAAAATATTTTGTTCAATAAAACTAGTTACCGCGGTATAAAATTGATATTGAGCCTCATGGCTTAAGGAAATGTGGTTAAAAACATTAATTTTTTATCAATATAAACAACAAATTAGAGGAATTTCAAGTAGAATGATTCCAAACACCTGCTCAGCTCAAATAATCACCGCTCAGCTATAAGATTCCCAGATTACAATGTTGTTTTCCCCCGGAAATCGTATCCCCTCAGGCAAGTGAAAGCTCGTTTTTAGCAACTAATTACCCTGCGGCAAGGTCTCGCCAGGCGAATAATATTTTAATTATGACAACTGGCCGCCGCTGGGCCCAAAAACAGCAGAAAAAAATGAGACGTAAACGGATATGCGGCAATGGCTACCGCATGTGGCTTTCTTAATTGGCCAACGAGACGCGCCCATGGCCCACACTGATAAGCAAATTTGGGAAACAGAAATGTACAACAAAATTGCGAGTTTAATTTGGCGAATAACCCCGTCAGTGTCGACACACTTTCACCGCCTCCTTTGGCATCCCTTTTTGGCCACATTTGTCGTGCGTCGAAATTAATTAGCCGCACTTCAGGCCACCTCCTCAGCTGCGTAGGTGCGTTGAGGTGTCCGCCGTTGTCATCAATTCATGCGTATTTATTACCATTTATCCACGACTGTCGGCCGATGCGCCTCGCGAATTAATTACACGCGGCCGCCGACGAGGGGCACATCAACATAAATGTTGCACGCCGCGGGTGCAACAATATAACACAACAATAACTATATAAGCTATAGTAACTGCCGCACGGGAAAGTGCAGCATAAAATGAATGGTGCTCGACCATGGGGAAATAGTCGATGCCACATATAAACCATATAATCGTGCCGCATCGCAACCACTCATATTCACACCAGGCGCACTTTGGCTACCAACAAGGACAATAAATCATCCGACAGGCAGTCGGAGTGCAGACAAATTCACTGAAATTTAAATAAAAATCAAAACAAATGCCTAGACAAAACACGAGACCGGGAGTCCAGGAGACCGTAAAAGGCGAAAAAAAATATATAAACGGAGCCTGAAAGGCAGCCGCATCAATATGGAGCATACACAGAGAGAAAATTTTAATATTTTATAGGTGAAATTTAAGTCAAGTATTTTTAATTCATAATTAAAAACCTACTTTAATAAAATTTTAGTTGATAAAATTAAAGGTTGTTGATTACCTAGGATGAAAACGAAGGTAAAAATGAAGGTTTATCATAAATTTAATGATATTTTCCTATAAAACTGTCTTTTAAAAATGAAAATAACATTTAATTTCTATAAAGCTAATGCGTAAAATGCATAAATCTTAGATTTTAAAAGGAATCTGATAACCTATGGGAGCAACTATCCTAAGTAGAGGTATTTATAATTAATTTAATAATCTTTTTTTTACCAAAATTCTTTGTAGACCTTGAATTAATATTTTATTCCTGTAAATGCAATATTTTAAATGCATAATTTCAGCTTTTTAAGTGAAAAAATTGCCCCCATTTGTCTTTAAATATTTTATAATATTATATTATGATATTATATTTTCCACTGTAGCCATAAGTTCAGTAGTTGCAACAACAACAACAACTCCTTGGCGGCATTATGAATAACTTTTAAATTTGAATGTGAAATAAACGCTTTGTCTAAGCTCTGGCTACCGTTAGCAACATGCTGCTCTGGCGATTGTTGTTGCTGCTGCTGTTACCGGTGATTTATGCAGCAACATTTGATGAAATATAATACAAAAGGCGCACAGCAGCCGCGGCAGCAACAACAAAGATAAATTGCCGCACGCTAAATTGTAAACTATATAAGGTT